GTATCATTCGTACCAATTTGAGCTTGCCAGTAAACTGGCATAACTCATGTAAAACACTGTTGTATATCTTTCCAAGCATCATCTACCTAAGTGTAACCTCAATTGTTCCTGGAATCTATTTTCGGCTTGCTCATCACTGAGTTGGATTGTAATGGGTCTTTTTAGTGCGGTTTTCCTGCGTCCAGTGAGGCTCAAGCAATTACGAGCCCGTATAAAAGCGTTATCGGAGTCTAAGCGAGCATTCCAGAACGAGCGACAGTCTTCTATCGAGTCTCTCTAACGATGACTGATAGCAATATGGTCTAGTTGAGTCCATCGTTGGTTTGATGTAAAGGGTCTCCATGTTAGATTATGTCTCTCCTTATACCTAAGATTAGCGTTTGCTAAAAGTAAACGATTATCTGAACATAGGTGCAACAGACAGTCGCCATTATCTGTTCGTTGAGCCGATATACTAAAATGTCCACCTAAATGTCTTTCTGTTTGGATTAAGCTACCTACTTGGGAATCAAAGTCACCTGCTACGAGTACTTTGTTTAAACATTTAGCTTTATGACGAAGTTCAGTAAAAGTCGTCTTCCAATTCATCCGAGCTGCAGTCAGTGAGAGCGTAGGTAGATACAACAAAAAGGCAACGACGTGTGTCCCTATCCTTCCGAGTTCTTATGGATCCGTTTAGCCAAACAGCACATAGACGACTATTAACGGGGATCCACTCGAATAGTGCCTTTTCTGCCGTTGTTCTTAATGCTATGCCTACACCTGCCAGTCCAAGATAAATAGCCGTCGGGTCGCCAGATACACGGAGAGTGTATCTTGGCTCTCCGTTTTGCCGAGGTGAGGTCAAGTGAATGACCAAGCTACGATCCTGAATACGTGTTTCGAAAACACAGCATACATCAACGGTACGAGATTCTGAGGTTTTGGCCTGCCGGCCGATTAGACATAGGGTGCATACGTCGAAGGCTTCAATGTGCAGTTTGAGGTGATGTTTCAGTAGTTCTAGGAAAGTGTTTCGCGCACTAGAATTGTTGGCCATGTTAACACTTGAGGAGGAAGCCAAAAGAGGACGTTTAGTGTTGAGTGTCAATGTAGTAGAAAAGCGCGAATGGAAGAGGGAGATTGATTATGAATAGAGTGATCTTGAGTGTCGTTTGAGGTATGAGGGCAGTTATCACTTCGCGGTTGCCAATACCGTGGGGAGACTCTTCTGGACGTACCCGAAAAGAAAATTGGGTTAGAGGTAGTCCTAGTGACCTGAGAGCGTGACCGCAGTGTCCAATAGACAACCTCTTGAGATCGGTCACACACGATCTTTTTTTGAGTAATTCTCGTGTTAGCTCAGCACTTGTTGAGACAATACTGCCAGAGACGGATATCCGTGGGGTAAGGCGAGGTGTACATTTTTAGGGTCGAGCTTTTATACCCCCACACATGGGAAGGCAGCATCGCTGATATGCTAGTTGTCTGAAGGAAATACTTTACTGCCGTCACACCTCCGTATCGCCAGCAGTACGACTTTGCCTTCCGACCTTGGGTTAGCTGCTTTTAGCCTTATCGCTCTTCAACCGATCTGTCTGGCATGGCAGGATCTTGAGGAACGCATGTTCTAGTCAGTATGACTCGATTGTTTCATCACGATGTGAAAGCCTGACCACCACTTAAAGGTAGCAGCAACGGTCAGGTAGCTTCTTAATACTCGTGGGGCAAAGAAGGACAGTAATCAAGTGAATATGAGTCGGCTTCCGAGAACTACGAAGGAGCCTTCAGAGGCCCCAAAGGAGATGAAGAGTTTCCAGATAATCAGAGATTGAGGGAGTTTTCTAGAATTTAAAGTGGTATGCTACTATCGGTCAGCAGCATGATATATCTCTTAGCGGATTGGCCAAAAATATAATTTTGATTTGAAAGATGCTAATAATCTATAAATACCCGTACTTTTCTGTACAAAAATGAACCTTTGAAGTAAAGCACTTCTCGCATACTTTGCGTCGTCTCTCTCCTGTTCAGGTCGCTGTACGAATGCAGCTTGTGGGTTACCAGAATAGCTTGGGAACCGAGTAAAGCGTTCAAATTAACAAGACTTATCAGTGCTGCTCTAATAATAGACCTAATCCTAAAGTTGTAGACTTGTCATGATATAACTGCCTGATCTATAAAATCAGGCATCATCATTTACACCAACTCATCGTATCGTTACAATCACCAACACATGATGTAGAACACGTTTAGGCTAGAGATAGAACAATATATTTAATATGAACAAAAGATGTAAAATAACATTCAACAGGCACCACACCTTCAAGGTCAAGCCTTGCCATTCAATCACTTCGAATTCATTTAACTTCTTGTTATCCGCTTCTCCGCCGTAGGGTTTTTATCCACGCTAAATGTTGGATATCTATTTCTCCAATTGTCTCGTGTTCAACTTTGATGATTGTGTGGTTGGGGCCCAATGCCACTACAGGACAATCGAATGTATTTGAATGCAAAATCACGGAAAATCTTAGTAAAATCTGGAGATCCTACAGTAAATACTTCATTTGCAAAATATCAATCAATTGTTTCAGACTTGACTATCCCTTCGTTCCTATGCAAGTCATTCTTTGTCCTCGTTTGCTTTCTTTGACATAACGTTGACCTACATTCTTGCTTTTACTTTCTCTTATTGGGTACAAAGACAGCGAGAAGAGGGGTATGTTTCCATTCAATGAACAGCCTCCCTTATGAAGTCGAATCTTCTGAGGTTCATTTCGAAGCATATGATTATTACATTATGTCTCTCATGTTGGATTTCGCAAATATTCGTCGAACCTGGACTGGATATTTTATGTTTCTTTCAGTCGTACCGATTGGATTAAGTACGATAGTGTAAGGATTTCAAAAGGTGGTTTCTGTGCTCCTAAACGCCCTCACTGATATCAAAATAACGGATTGCGTGAGATTCAACTTATTCCGTAGTCAATCGTAACAACATAAACTTTGTTACATTATTAGGTATCTTTCTTATCACGAAACACCTGTGGAATTACAAAAGGTAGCAAACTAAACTTGACTCGAACATTGCTTACCAAAATGAGTAGGTGAACCTTAAGACATGGCGCTTCAACAAATTCTAGCAAACCAGTAGCCTGGAGAAATATGTTTCATCTACATAAGCTTAAGTACATTGGGAACTCAATGTGAAAATAAGTTTGCAGAGTCGGTTATATTTATTATCCAGTGGTTCTTAGTCCCTGATATGCCAGTTGACTTTACTGGCGTAATATGCCTGCCTCGGTGAGTAAAAAACTTGTAGGTGAACCCTATAGTATTAACGGAATAAATGTCCACACGTAATTATATTGGATTTGTTTGGGTCCTGTAAAACTGTCCTTTGATCAAGGATTTGTTCTTTAGTTTAGGCGTAATATGACAAGTTGGCTTTTGCGTGATATAATGGATGTTCGGACAATCGATAAAGTTAAATAATTTTCCAGAACACAATATACCAGTTTCTACTCAATGCTGGTTGTTAAGAAAATAAACAACAAGACTATATTAAACGAGTTGTTGCTCAATGCTAACAAGTGAAAGATAAACAAGTATTATTCAACGACAAAATATTGCACTGTCATCAATGAGTGAGTTGTAACGAAAGTCTATGATCATACATCAGCAGTGAACAATTTACGTACTTTTGTGTCATGACGCTCTAACACTGATTCAATTTACACTTGTTCAGCCATAACTAAGTGATAAAAATCTAGACTGTGGACCTCATTTTGAATAAAATGGGACAACAGTATCATTGTACCGACTTTGTGGATTACATGCATCATAAAGAAACTGAGTGCCATTGTTTTAATCTGAGGCAAAGAACTGGATTATGTTCCTTGACGACAGCAAGAAGCCCCTATTGTATTTCGATAATTGGGTTTCCTTAATGCATTTCTCAGAAAAGTAAAAACAAACGACAAATGAAGCAAATAATTAAATCCAACAATCTACCAAGAGACGTTTATCATTTAACAGGGACATTTGGACAGTATTTTTAAGGCTGTTGTTCATGCATAAATCCGTTAAATGTTTGTTGGATTTATCTCTCTATATTTAGTGGTAGCCTATTGAAATAATACTGAGATAAGGATTCGTTTCCTCTTCTGCAACCACCTAACAAGCTAACTACATGTTCCTCGAGATGGTTTTTTCATCGGAATGCACATTAGAATAGGTCAAAAGGCTGTTTATTGGTAGTTGCAACGAGGTTTAACTTCCATCTCTTACTTCAACATATCGGACAAACCTACCCTCCAGACATTTCAGCTACGTCTTGTGTCAGTAACGATCTCGTTACTCATTGTCAGGACATGGTGATATAGGAATCGTTACTAAGCAAGACATGGAAATCATTATACGTCGCAATGCAGTAGCCTAAAAATGTTCGGTTACGCTTTGCTCGATGTGTATGGGACTCGGACAAGTAGATGCTAAGACAATCATCATGTAGAATATTGTCCGTTCGACTAATATCATAGCATTGCGAAAGACGACCCACCTCCTTTCCAAAAGAGGCAGTAGGTCTTCACAAAAGGTTAGGAAATCCAAAACAAGTCAATTTATGAAATATAGAAGACCTTGTATAATGAGAGGTTGAATAATCAAAACATACACTAAAGTGTAACTAAATATGAGGCAGTTTGAAAACAATATATTAACAAGTTACTAAGTTAAACCATCACGTTTTTTGTATTACAGAGCACTATATTTGCAAGAATGTCCAAAAACTTCACATCCTGAAACCATTTGTTTGTTCACGGGCTACCAACCTTCGTATAGAATCGACCAGAAAAATTGCCTGCTTCGAAGCTTGGTTACAAATTCTTCTAAAGATACATTCGAAAGGCAGGTTAAGTGAGGAACTGATATCACAGGGTAAAACGTAGACATTGTAGTCCACAGTTACTATCAAACCGGAGTTGAATTGAATCATTTAGTAACCTTGGAATCTTTCCGTTTTTCCGCTCTGGGAAGCCTTGCTTTGACCTTGAGATCACATAAGTAGGGCTTCGTTACATGGAGCCTCAGATAGTACCATTGTTGAAGCTTACACCATTAGATAACCCACCGAAATTCTTAATAGTAAATGAAATTGCGTGGCTAACTTATGTTTGTTTTAGCCTCTACAGTCTGCTGGAAAGTTTGTTAAGAAGTTAAGGGAGTCCGAGGCCAATGTTGTGGACTCGCAGGTACACCAATGTTTGTGTATCATATATCCGTTTAGGCCAATCGTTCCGGTTCTGATGAGGACCAGAGAGCATTACAAGCTGGTCTGTTATACCTGGCTCTCACTGAGCCAGATCCTAGGCACTCATTTTGTACGGATATAGTATTGACCTCTCGTGACAACTTAACTTATGTCCTGTCAGAAATGACCCGCTTGGTTGCGGAAACGTGGCCAAAAATGACCCAAAGTGTCCGATGCAACCTTATATCACTGTTGGGGGAGTTTATATCGACGAAGACTGCTAGTGTCGAAGTGTTGATGCTCCACGTGTATCGAAGAATGACAAGTAACCCACATAATTTGAACTAAATTTTTTGGCAGCTGGTGATATTTCTCCTCAAAACCTGTGGCTCATAGACAGCATGGCGGATCTTCTGGAAAAAAACAAGTAATTCGGTTATACTCATGAATTATGTTAACTAGAGATTGGCTAGGGAGTTTGGAAAGACAACCGTTTTTGCTTCCCCTAACTGTATATACCTTACTTCGGCTCATCCCAGATCATCATTTATCTCCTCAACAGGCTTCACTGGTCAATTCAAATCCTTCCATTCATCTGTCCAAGTTACGACAGAAAGAATTGGCTTTGGTTGAGGAGCTTGTTCGGAAGAATGTGAGTTATTAAATACACTATAGTCTTTTACTGTTTGGTTCTATCCCCTGTATTTGTCTTCGAATGGTTTTAAACGTCCTCCCAAAGGTAGTAAGAGATTTGTATCCGCATTTTGTTTGACTGTTTTCTTTAAACATAATTCCATGCTCAAGTATTGGTTTACTCTATTATGATCTGCAATAAATGTTGCTGTTTTTTTTGACATGTCTCCACTTATTTCTATATACTGAATAGCTGGTTGTTGTTGGACACCTCGTTGAGTACTGGGGTAACTGTAATCGCCAAGTTGATCCTAATAACTCTTCTGTGCAATCCCAAAACGCTTTTATGGTATTGCATGCAAAAAGTCAATTGGGAGACAGAAAAACAACAGAAAGCTGGACCAAGTGTACATATATATGCGTAGTGTCCCGCTCTTCATCACTATAAGCTTTCTTCATGTATATGTTTTCAAAACACCAGAAAATGTCGTACCTTGATTTGTACAAGTCGGGACATATAATACATTTGTCCAATCTGTTGGTATTCGTCATGTGGTAGTCAGGACAGCAGTTTATATAAAGAATGCAGTTTTGATTGTTTCTAGCTTAAAAAAATTGGAAGAAGTGAGCGAAAGTATGAAGTCTTTTTAATGGGATAAAATCACACTAGAAACTTTCATATGTCTCACTTGGTAATTGTGCATGAAATTTGCAAAGTTATTCAAATAACTAGGGTTAAGTTACAATTAACACACCTTTAATGAATAAGTTGTATTAATGGTGTCTGTTGTTCATTAGCCATTAAGGGGGAGAGGATACTTGTAAGTTTTTGGTATTTGATCACAGATGTCTTAGAAAGATTGCTGGTATCTGCTGGGATGACCGAGTAAGTAATAGTGAGTTTAGATGTAGGGTATTCGGGAATGATGGTAAATCAGTTGATGAGGTTGTGAATCCACATCGACTGAGATGGTTTAGCCACGTGTTACGTATGCTCAACTACCGATTACCATGACGCGCAATGCTGACTAGTTTTGGAGACGGATGACAAAAAGTTAGGGGCAGCCAAACCAAACGTGGAAGCAGTCCACAAAGTCACTAACATTTGGTCTGGGCCATGTTGTTAGATGCAGATTACTTGGTTGGGGTCCGCATGATTGTCGTAACTAGTGGTTGGAGATTCTGTGTGACATGGCTGAGAATCGATCACAATGACTTTTGTGTATACACTTTCTGTGTTCCCTTAAACTATGAGATTAAAGTTGCTTTATATCTTTCTTTCCTGTACCATATACTTATATACAATCTTTCTTTTATATATTACCACTGTTGAATTAACTACTTCTATGAATTCGGTGTTCATCTTGTTGTGCTAATGCGGTATGGCAACTTGGACCGATGCATATATGTGCCTGGTCGTACGTTGTAGATGACTGACTGATTGTTGTTCATAGTTGTTGTCCACTGCTAAGACTACTAGTAATTACTCTCTAAAGGCTGAAAGGTTTTACATGTTCGCCATAGCATTCGGGTCAACTTTGTAGTCTTCCTATTATTTAAAATAATGGAGTCAACAACTATTGCTACTTATAATTTACATTTTTTTTTCTAATCATGTCAGCTCCTCTAGTCAGCCCTCATCAGCGTAAGGATATAAGATATTTTGGTGACTACCTATTGTCAATTTCACTTCTTTTGAGCGGTGTAACCGATATCATTAGTCATAAAGTAGTCATATGTTTTTTGGTACGGTTATGTCACTAAACGCATTTTTTTTTACCGTTACTGTATGTAGTGTTAGTACACGTCCATACTTCTGTAGGTTGTTTTCGAATCAAATAAACAGTAGTCGAACTCGATGTATTTGACCGTGTCTGATTCCTTAGATACTGTTCTATATGTTGAGCATTAACGATCTTGATTACTTAAGTTTGTTATGTTAATTATCTCCTACTGTTGATTAAAGTAAGATGTGCCATGTAAGGTCATTTGACATTAATAAAAGGTTCTGCTACATCTTTAAATGCCAATGACGTGTCTTGTCAAAGGGTTTTAGCTGCTATACTAATGTGCTGTAATTATAACTACAATTTACTAGTTTTGTGTTAATAAGTGTATTTTGAAATGCTTGGTATCGAGACCTTCTTATTTCATTAGTGGGTTTTCATCGGATAATTATAGAGCAATTTAATTCCACAAAATTTCGTTCGAAAATAGGAAATAGAAAGTTTTTGCTCTTTATTTTTCTCGTTTAGGGAATTAGCTATTGAAAATTTGAGATATATTAAGACGCAACAGAAGTGTTACATAGAGACAGCAACTAATGTTGCTCTGTTCGGTCTCTAGAGGTTAGGGTTTCTGCTATTTATTAAGATTGTTGGAGTAGACTTTTGTAGGTGTTATATGGATCATGTGACTCTTATCGACGGAAGTGATGAATTCTTAGCTACTTTAAAATAGACAGTAAACTGGCCGGCATACAACCATCATAATTTTTTTAGCCACACAGCTGTATAAATAGTTGACTTAGAAAAAAATATCCAAAACACCAACGAAGCTCTTATGTGCAAATAAATTTACTATGTTATGGTGTTTATAACTACTCTTAGTATTTATTATGTCAGTTGGCTGTTCATCATCAACGTAGAGCCTGGCATTAGTGTGCGTTCGTCCAAGTTGTCATACCATAATAATGCAATTGATGGCAAAAAACAGAAATAATGTAGTAGAAATGACAGGGAGAATATGCTTTGAAAATGGGGTTCAAAAATACAGTGAGAAGGTATGCTTGAAGGATTACTGGCATTCAAGATCGAGAGAAGAATAAAGGGGGGATTCATTCGTGCTATTATGGTAGGTCTTGAGCATTAAGGTTATCGATTCTTTCGAAGTACCTCATGTTTCATTGCAGTGTACGTATTTGTAGAAAAGCCATATCCAACTCTTGTCTTAAAAATTATTAGATTGTTTATTCAATTCTCAGCAACACTTACAAGTCCATCTGTTACTTAATTAATACACGGCCATTCCTATGATCATTTTCATTTTGTTGAGTAATTTTCTCGTGATCTTTTATCAGGACAGGTCTTTTTAAGCTTAATCATGCTTAGACATTATTTACCGGATACTTATCACGACGAGTTTGCTAAAACTAATTTTATTTTGACTTGTGTACGTGCAAGTTTAAATGGAAACCTGTTCGTTAATATCTCTTCAACACGCCCTCATAAAGTTTCTTTTACATGGTTAGGACTTGTGACTTGCCAGGTATTTTCAATAAATTCCTTGCCATTTTTGTTACAGTTTGACCGTTGCGCCCAAATTGGCCGTGATTTCATTCGTCTCCTACATGGTGTCGCACGTCTGGAACCTATGAAGCGTTTGTGGGATGATATACTACAAAATATTTCTTCTTTGTCGTCTCATTTTTCAAGTAATATCATTTATTTCTTTCCTTATTCAGCTAAATTTATTTATGCAACTATATCATTTTATTTTATCTTGTATTGATCTATTCAGCCACTCCTAGTATTAACATATATTGATTAGACATAGAATGTCAGTATAAAAAGACCTTTCAATATATCGCATAAATTTTGATTGTTTTAGGTCCCTCTGAAATTTTGGAAATCACCACACCTCAGTGTTTTACACAGACCCTTATACCACATGAAATGGAACAGTGGGTTCGTTGGATGATGAAAAATGTTCATTGTGTTCCGAGAGTTCCTGTTCATCGTTATCAAGACTTTTTCCAAGTGAGTTCAGATCTAATTAATTCATGTTTTCCAGTGTAATATAGTAATTTATTATATATTTTTTCCACTTAGTTCGAGTTGGCATAGTCACAGTTTAATACTCACTTTTTTAAATTTTATTTTAAACTTGTTCCAGAGGAAATTCTTCTCAACTCCAGAAAGTCAGAGTCTTCGTGTGTGCCTTTTGCGTTACGTTGTGACTTACTTCTATCCTGATAATGAAATGTTAGCCTCCACTTTAATACCACGGTGGAATGTGGTTTCTTGGATTCTTTCTCAATCTACAGTAAGTGTTATGTTCGTATCATAAATTACCACGGCTTTTCCTCATCCGGTTTCTCGGATCACTGCTATAAATATTATTAATTAAAATATAATGATTTTGTATATCTGTCGATTTTAAGTTATTTGATGATTCTTTGTACTGAAGGTTTTCTTAAAGCGGAACTCACTAAAATAATTTATTTCATAATCTCTGATCATATCCTCTTTGATGAGTACAAATATGGAATAAAGGAACCACTTAAATGTTCATACTCCTACGATATTTCTGTATGAATAAGGTTTGTAATGGTCATCGGAATTGTTACTTATAATCTACATTAAACAAAGCTTTTTAAAGATACAATATTTGAATGGAGACAATGGGTCAAACAAAACTGTCTCATTAGTCTTTTATGATTGTTTGTCAAGTAAAATATCATTATTATTAAAGCTGCTTAGTTAGACTTATTGTTTGTTTCTGAATCCAAACACAACAATCAATTCATACTGAAAAGTTTACTTTCAGGTTTTTTAAACGAAATTTATTAAGATACTCAGGTTCATTAACCCTATCGTAAATCTAGCGTGAGGTTACTGTTTTTTTTCAATCAAATGATTTTAAAATCCCATTTTTAGAGATGTTTTATGCCTAGTTTATTACTAGCTGTACCAATAGTTCAATTAATATTTAATTAAGTAGACATCTTAATGCATGTCAAAAAGTCTATCAGTTATTTTGCTATGGTAATATCTTGTTCAAAGTTGGAAGACAGGACTCTTCTCGAAAAATTTATTTGGTTTAGTGAACATAAGTAGATGGAATCTTGAAGTCTCGGAATATATGTATCATGTGACCACTTATACTAAAAACTTAGTTATGTGAATTGTGATCGATGGGTATTATGTCAAGACTACCCTCATGCTTTTCTAGTGTACATGAACTATATTTTTCGTTGTTTATGGATAACAATTAGTATTATCTCCCGACTGCATTTTGTCCCGATTCGATTGTCTTCTAGATGTTATTCTCATCAGGTTAATATCATTGTATATTTATTTCTTCCTAGTGTCCTGTTGCCACTGTTAATGCTAAATTGGCTCTGTTTTATGATTGGCTCTTTTTCAAACCAAATGATTGTATAATGAATTTGGGTACGTTTATATGCCGTTTTTACTTCTGAATCACAAAATATAATTTCAAGTGCTTCCATTTTGTTATCCATTATTAAATTCAACTTCGATATTTTGTACAGACTTACTATATTTGTTTTTCGCCTTTCTCCTGTAGCTCAATACAACTTACATTGCCTCGTTGAAATGAAGTTGCTAGGTGCAAAACTGGTGAATAATTAGTTCATTCACGACAGTTCTTAAGTGTAGTTTTCTTTTGAAGGTGTCCAAACGAAAACTACCAACAAAAAAGGTTGATATTTTACGTTGTAGCTGCCTGACTGACTGCGTATATAACACATCAACTTAGGGATTTGCAAAACTCATTAAATATTTCATTTAGAATGGCATTGAATACTGTATTAATAATCCTCTTTATCACTCAGTAAAGTTGTCAAATAATTTCCAAAACCGATTTAATTTTCCTCATATTCAACTACATTCCAAGTAAAACAATTGCGTTTGGTAAAAATGTAGTTTGTAGAAGGACCAGAACAAAAACCTGGGAATCAAACTAGATTTAGTAAGATTTTATTATGGACTGATCTATTAAAAGTTTATATATATATATATATATATATATATATATATATATATATATATATATAATATTCTACTTGTATTACGAAAACACAGATTTTGTGATAAAGTTAGTAATTTCTTTAACAGAAGCATTGAAATACGGTTATCAGTCTTGGGTAATAAAAGGGGAACCTTTCAAGTACTTTATGTTAGTCATATACTTGTGGGTTTTTGAAGATATATGAAGTTAAATTCATTTTTATAATACCACCAAAAGCGTTTGGTTCTCTGTCATGAAAAAAGATCGGTTTCTCAAACTTCTGAGGAAAGTTGTGTCTTAATGAAAGCTTAATAAGGCGATTTATACTTATTTCCAATTAGTGTAACTGAATCAAGAGAGTTAGTAGTTAAGACGTTTGACTTCCGACCACTAAATCCCAGGTTCCAACCCAGCTCCACCTACTTCGGTTTCGGCACTCGGGTGATATGATTAACTTTCACATACAGAGTATGGCTCATACCCAAGCTCCGGGTGAAAGGGTTGGTTAAAACAATACAAAACGTTTTAATATCATTTATAAAAGTAATGCATTATATAACTCAGTAACTGCATATAAGTTTATGTAATGTTGCAGGTCACGTTTACTGTTCATCTGCTAACGTAACCAAATACTCAAACATCAATAGAATACAATGATGCTTGAATCGCAAGCCTTTTGGCTTACGTTTATGTGTCTAGATCGCTATACTACTATTTAAGAGACTCTCACCAACTATGTGTTTGAATTTGCTCAGTTTTCTTATTATATAACTGCTGTGTGGATTAATTTCATAGGTAATATTATTCACACTACATTACTTTGTTTCTTTCTGCTCACCTAATATTCAAATTCGAAATTCTTTTTAAAAATGACTGCTAGACTCTTTGGACATTGGGTTATATTTGGAATAAATGAGATTTATCATGTCTATCTTTACTCAAATACAGGTAGGATAGGTGCTGGAGTTAAGTCTTATTACTCTTGCAAACTAGGAATAAGTTTGTAAATATCACTTTTTTTCCAAGTAAACATCTCGTTTTGACAAATCTGGTAAATCTAGAAAGAACACGCATTGGACTGTGATTGAATTATATGGAACTAAATTTGATAGTCATATCACATCATAGTTCTCTGATTGTATGATTCGTTTTCGTCCTATTCTTTCCTGCATTTTTTTCTTTTGTACACTGTCACCAAGTGTAATGATAATAAAGATAGTGCATCCTTGTACGAGGTTCTGTCTAGTGGTTCAGATACAGGATGAACAGCTTTAAATCAGTGGTAATAATTGTCGTCGTGAATATTGCCTGGTTTGAACGTACACTTTACTGACCATGTTTTATGCATACGCTAATAAACGAATTCCATGTTTCACGTTTTATATGTTTAACTTACAAATATATGATCAATATGTCACTTCGTATCTTGAAATTCGTTACTTTCTTCATATCAACTATGAGGTTTCATTCGTTCGTGTTCCGTAATTTGCCGAGAACTTGCAACTAAAAACATTGGTTTCCTAGTTTCGAAAAAAATCTGTCGTCGGTTGCACTTAGTAATTTGTAGACTTCAGTAAAATTGAGTTGTAGTTGAGTTTCTTAAGGCTTATCAAATCACAAAATCTTCAGGTTAGACATAAATCCGTAATCTTTGGCCTTCAGTAGGCTGGCGTTTAGCCTGAACGTACATAAAGGATATCGTGTCCGGAAGGGTCTGAATAAAACCAAGGGAAAAGGTAAATCAACAACTTAGGAAGTACATGAAATGCACTTACATTTAATAATGAGAGCAGTTGGCAGTAGTCTGCATTAACAGAAATGTAAGATTTAATAGTCAAAACTAAAGTTGATAGTACAATATTTCAAATCCATTATAAACCCTTATGTAGTGCGTTATGAGTAGCCGGTAAGGTTTCGCACAACTGGTTGTTCTTCCTAGTTGATTAAGAGCCTTTTTTTGTTATACAGCCTTATATTTAACAAAATCATTTGTTTTGGTTGAGTTAATATCACTTTTCGTCACCAAAAATTATTTTCAACTCCATGTTTTACAGAACCTGCTTTATTAGCTATTATGAATCATCTTAATCCGCGTTCACAGCTGATCGCATTTTCACTCGTCGACTTTTTGATTAAAGTAAGTTAATATTACTTTATGAGTGTATTTGCTTTGTCACGTACTTTTTTGTCAAAACGCTTCAGGGAACAAATCTTTTATAGTCTATTTTCTATATTGTTTCACGTTCTTCATATTTAGTTAAGTCTATCGATTTAATTAGATCGTAATTTATTTATTTATTTATTTATTTGAACACATAAATATTGGTACAGGGGGGCACCAAATATATATGCGCCACACAAAACAATGATAATTTGAAGAGAAGGAGAAAAAAAGAAGTAATGAACGTGGGGAATTATAAGAATAAAGAGAGAGAACAATGATGGGGAAAACGGAAAGGTAGAATCAGAAGAAATCTTTCAGTTAAGGAAGAAGCAACCACTTTTTATGAAGAAAGTAAAAAAAAGTTACAGCAGGATCGCCACTGGCTTCTATTCTGAGCCATATATGATAACGTCTCTAGCCACTGTGTTACACCGACTCTAGGACCCCAGCCAGGGAGTCGTGAAGGACCAACAGAAGCTAGCCCTTTTCAACTTTCCTTCATACCACGACACCATGTCATATACTGGCCACCTCTCCGCTTTTTCCAACCAGTCCCAGAGTCGGCAAATAATGCACGACGAGGAATTCTCTGGGACGACATTCGTAGAACATGTCCAAGCCACCGAAGTCTGTGTTTCAAGATGGTGACACCAATTGCATTATCGTCTCTGTGACCGAACACACGATGCCGGACCTCTGCATTACTGACATGGTGTTGCCACTGGATGCCAGCAATCCTTCGGAGACAACGATGATCGAACATAGAGAGTCGTCTAACATCCTCAACTCGGAGAGGCCAGGTTTCACAAGCATAGAGCAAAACTGCTCTCACCGTCGCGTTGTAGATCCGACTTTTTACAGCCAGACTAACATCACGAAGGCGCCAAAGGTGTCCCAGATTGGCATAAGCCGCTCTGGCTTTTACTATACGTGTATTGATCTCATCACTCACGCCACCACCAGCACTTATGCAGCTACCTAGATACACGAACTTCTCGACCACTTCTATCTGCTCACCGTCCAGAGTGAGTACAGGATTAGAATCCTGCCAGTCTTGCATAAGTATTTTGCACTTCGAAGGTGCGAAGCACATACCATACCTATGGACATTGATTGCCAACTGATTAAGTGCGGATTGCATAGCTTGGGCATTCTCGCACAGTAAGACAATATCATCCGCATACTCAAGGTCGAGAAGTCTTTCTCCAGACAACAGATCCACACCACCATTACTTACATCCATCAGAGCTGTTTCCAGAATGTCATCGATGGCAAAGTTGAAGAGGAATGGTGAGATTGGGCAACCCTGCCTAACTCCACTGCTTGAATGGAATAGTGGAGAAAGGTGGTTGTATGCCCTCACTCTGCCTGAGGTGTTTGTGTATAGGGCTTTTAGGATGTTAATAAACTTCTCAGGCACACCCTTCTTCAATAGACAATCCCAAAGAACAGTTCTGTCCAACGAATCGAAGGCAGCCCTGATATCGAGAAACACTACGATTGTTGGCCTTTGATAAGTATGGCGGTGTTCTAACACTTGGCGGAGGGTGAAGATATGATCAATACATCCTCGACCAGAACGAAAACCAGCCTGCTCCTCGCGAGTCAATCCTTCTCGGGTTCTGAACAACCTACGAAGTATGACGGAAGCCAATAGCTTGGACGCAATCGGAAGTAGACTTATCCCCCGATAGTTGTTACAGGAACAACGTGAACCCTTTTTAAAGATAGGGACAACTATCGACTCATTCCATGACGTTGGTACACACTCTAGTTCCCAGACCTTTGCAAACAACGTCGTCAGTCCCTTAGTCAGAAAGTCACCACCAACTTTAAAAAGAGCCGGAGGTAAGTCGTCTGGGCCCGGTGATTTGTAACGTTTCAAGAGTTGGAGTTCCTTGCGGACTTCCGTCTCATTTGGTGGATCAGTCGTCACCGGCCATGGAGGGCAGGACAGTCTGACCGATGTTGCCGGAGCAGCAGGCCAGTTGAACTGCCCTTCGAAAAATTCTGCCCATCGTCCAAGACGTCGATGGATGTTAGTGATTGGCGTTCCGTCATCCTCGCAGATTGTTTCGCTCACACCAGACTTCTTGCTGCCAGTGGCTCGGATGAGCTGGAAGAGCTTCCGGTAATTACCAGATGCAGCTGCTGCTTCCAACTCACTGGCACGCTCCGACCACCAGGCTTCTCGGTCCTTACGCAAGCTTTGCCCGATTTCATTACGTAACATCCTTCGTCTGTGGTCAAACTCACGGTCACCTGGAGTAGACCGACGGGCTTCAATCAGTTGTAAAAAACCAGAAGAAACCCAGTGCTTGTAAGCGGGACGTTTCGCAAACCCACAACAAACTTGACCCGCCATTCTCATGGCGTCATGCAATTGCAACCAATGCTCATCTATACTTTTCGGTGGAATGGTAGCTAGCCTAGAAGCTAGCTCGCTTCGGTACTTACTAGCAACAGAAGTTGCAGCCAGCTTGCTAACATCAATCCTTTGGTGGCGGTCACTTCGTTGTCCACTGAAAAGTAAGGTAAGATTGGCGCAGACCAGGGCAAGATCAGATTCCAGATAGGTACTCCAAAAGGAGTGGCAGTCTTGTACACAACCACGCCAGCGGTAGCTGATCGCGATGTGATCAATTTGTATCCAGGCTTGAGATGTAGAATGGGGACGCCAGGTGGCACATCGGCGATGACTGTGCCGAAAGCTAGTGCTAGCCAGAATCAGGTTGTGGTCTGTGCATAGCTGCAGTAGACGTTCCCCGTTATCTGTCCTGCGACCAACAAGTCCCCATCGGCCACCTAAACGACTCTCTTCTGTGCCTAGACGCCCGACCTGAGCATTCAAGTCTCCAGCTAGTACTACAATATCTGTCGAACGCACTTTCTGGAGAAAAACAGTTAACTGGCGGGAAGATTCATTCTTGATTGCATCCGGGCTGCAATCTGTCGGGGCATAGGCGGAGATGACGAAAATAGATCGTTTCTCACGCTGATTTCTTCTCACTTTGATGGTACTTTCTAATCTAACAGCACATAACCGACTGTTAATGGGGATCCAGTCGACTAGTGCTGCCTCAGCTCTAGCGCTTAGTGCGACACCAACGCCAGCAAGACCAGACGAAGATGCCACAGGGTCCCCGGAAAAACGCACATAAAACAAACTTTTTGAAGCGACAGATGGAGAGCGAACTTGTAGTACTTCACCAGAGTCTTGAATACGGGTCTCGGATAGACAACACACATCAATATTAAGACTTTCCAAAGACATAGCCAGTCCTATCTGTTGTCCGACCTGCATAAGTGTGCGAACGTTGAAGGCAGCTAGTTTGAATGGTGCACGTGGTTTCAGAAAAACTGCTTCAGTACTCATATTCGGTAGTAACATACAATTTTCAACCAGGCAGTGACTCGAGAACGTTTAGATAAAGCTGAATTTTCACCATAGGCGAGCTGCTGTCTGAGTCGAAACGGATACAAAAAGTAGAAATAGGAGATAGTGAATAAATGACGTAGTAAATAATAATAATAATAATAATAATAATAATAATAATAATAACAATAATAATAGTACGAGTCATTTCAATGTTAATCAGAGAGAAAGGAATATTTTCCATAAGCAAATAGTTCATCATGATTTTAGTGTGTCGGCTGAGATACTGCCCGGGTGCCCAAACCGAAGCAGGTGGTTTTCTTAGGGGGCCACACCCCGAGCCTTTGACCTAAGGGTCTAGTCCACAAGGCAGTAGAGCATCGTGAGGAGATGCAGTCCCATGGAAGTCGGTGACCAAAAGTTGGTTCATACGCCATTTGTTCCCACAGGATACTGGAGCCCATGTGCACCATAGAATTGGGATCCGGTTATAGCGCCGGACATTCGCTTTTCGTCCTCTCATTTTCGTAAACAACACCCCCGCCACGAGAAGGCAGTGAGTAGGACTTCCCTGGCAGAGGCTGTATACGCGTGGCCGTGTGAGAGTATTTCGAGAGGGAGGGCGAACCCTCCCCGCTCTCAGCCATACCAGGGCATTTGTTAATGTCGTTTAACTTATACACTTACTGTCCAAGCATCATGTACTATTTATCTGCTTATTTGTATCCCAGGGTTTTTTCTTACATAATTACTAAAACTTGGCACCTGATATTTGTTTTCAGTCACTATTTCTCTCATCTGCATTGAAACTGTTATCAAATCTAAATAACAGTTGTATAATAGCCTATGTTAGTTGTATTTTTCAGTGATATTGGATTATATTTACCGTGACAGTAGTTCAACCTTTAATATGGAAGCATTTAAATCTGACACTTAGTTTATTTCTGACTTAAACTACATCGTGGTTTAGATTTAGACCAAAACACTCTTTGTAGACAGTACATGTCGAACTCTCCACATATATACTCATCGTTACATTTATACTATACATGTAGTTATAAAGCGTTCTCTAATATAATTTTACCTACCAAATGGAGTGTAGCATGTACATAACTTTCTGACTGGAATTATATATATATATATATATATATATATATATATATATATATATATATATATATATATATATATATATATATATAATCGTGTATCTACTTTGATGAATTCTCTTTAAAAGATCAACATTTTAATATTTCACTATAGATTGTTGGAACCTATTATCCCCCAATGACTGAAAGAATCGTTATGGGTGTCCGTTCTGGTCTGGAAGAAATGATTCGTTTAGGTGTTGTAAAGTAAGAAGTTGCATATATTCTATAGAAACCATGTAAAATATGATGTTTACAAATATAACTTTACTTATAAAACGACCAAATATTTAAAATACTATCACGGTAGTATATACGTACTTTGAAGATCGGCTATTAAAATAGTGAAACTTTAAGGTAATTTAACTTCGAACCTAATTAGTTAATTCATGAAGGCTTTGTAAAGTTTCTTCTTACCTTCATTCTTATAATAATATTGTCTCATTGCTAAAAATACCAATTTTCTTTTTCCATATCATTAAACGGCAACAAGTCAAATATAATTTTTGTCATAACTCTTTATGTTGTACATGATACTGAAGTCGGGTTACACAACTATCAGTTACCTGGTCATGAATTTGCACCATTTTAGTGCACTTAAATTTGTGTAATCAAGTAGTATCACCTTATATTTTATATTATTGACTTCATTTGTTATATGACCTAATAATTTAAATGAGATTGGTGACACTTGTTTTCATTAATTGTAAACACATTTTATGCAATATTCTTTTTAAAGGCTTTGAGGGTTTAAAGAATTAGGTTCTAGCTATCCCTTTACGAGTAAATTACTAAACAAAGTTACTTTTGTCCTGAAAGTGAAATATTGACATGTTTTATTACACTACATAATATTTTGTAGGCAACTATAGAATAATTAAGTCGTTTGAAGGTTTAGTCAAACGAAAGAATTTTAGCGTTAAAAACGGCTAATCTACTCAATATAATCTGTCCTAGTCCTCGAAATCAAACTAACTTTATGGGATAAAACTAAATTATCATCCAATGAAGTTAAAATTCAGTCGGTTCTTCCTGTACCACTTATTGCTAGTGTTCAAGCAAGAATGTCTTTTATGCATTTCTCGCGTACGGTGGGATCACGATGTGAGTAGTGCTAAAGTTAAGCTTAGTTTACTATATAGAAATAAGTCAATTGATAAAGCAGTACCCCTTCATTAACTCGCCCGGTTGAGAAATTTATTACGTATACGCAATCAGTGGTTGCCTCCACGTTTGGGGGAGGCTAGTCTGAGAGAAAATTAAAATTACGCTAGAGGGAGTTGAACAAATGTCACATCAATACATAAAGTCAGTGGCTGTCTGAGTTGTATAGGTAGGTACGGTCTTTCTGGTTGGCAAACATGTGATGTCTGTCACTGTTGGTTGGAGACGCTAGGCCACATGGCTCAACATAGATTGCGGTGACTCAAATAGACTCGTTCTGTCTACCCTAAATCTTGACTATTATTATGATTGCACACCTTTTATTCACGAATTTTATTTTTTTCTATTTGAACCATCGTCTTTATGTTTAATGCTAAGCTACCATTGATGTTATTAATGTTTTGACTCTATAGCTTTCCTCTTATTTTAATATGTGGTAACTGACCGATGTACAATTGTCCAGGTTTGGAGCTGTTTATAAATTAGGATTTCCGCGGGTGGTTAATAAAACTTCGTTTTGTTTGTTTATAGAAGCATCGCTCCTCTATTCGAGTTTTTACACCGTTCGTCTTCTTTGGATTTGTTGCGATCACTTCGTGTTTTGTTGGGTCTTGAACCTAATACTACTTTGACAAGTATAGCAGTTCCACCTGTGGAAAACCCTAGTCGTCCGACACCTGAAAAATGGCCAGGATCAGGTGATACTCCAGTGGTGAGCACGAACTTGAGCTCTGTTGCGAATACCACGGTTGTTTCTCGCAATCAAACTACTACATCTTTAACGGTCACTAGGTCTTTATCACCAGGTAAGTTACCGGTTTTCTGTTTTTACGTAGATTGTCAGCAGTTATATCACGATTACAAACAAATATTTTTATTTGAAACCTTGCTTTTGCAAGTTTACTGAGCACAACAGAATCGGGATGAAAATAAATAAATATACGCATTTCTCAAATGTTTTGTTGACACGTAGGATGGATTTTTAGATCTCAGTAGCTTGTGATATACTGATTGAGATGAATAAGTGATATGTTTTATTGGTTACATTTAAGCTTATATAGCTTGCTGGCTGTGTTATATCTTTAATCATGTGTATTTCAGATTCTTTGTGATTTTTGTGCGATGTGTTTGTATTCAGAAGTGAAAATTGTGTTTCACAATTAGGCTTGGATATATTTGATATTTGATATTACAAATATTTAAAGTAATCATTAAATTTGTAATTTCCGGTGGACTTGTCGATTTGGAAATTTTGATCAACATTCTGATATGTTACTATCATTTTGATCCTATATCAAATAAGTAATTATATATTATTTCAAGCTAGTTTTCTGGATACCATGCAACGGCTTATGCGATCTAACATTCGGCGATATTCATGCCCAAGTATCAGAACTCAAGAAGTTTGGTTTCTCGAAATACAGGTTCCATAAAATCGTTGTTATCTTATTGGCTTTTTCACATTTTAACTTTGAGTATCATTTATATCATTCAAGTATTCTGGTTATTGGAGTATTTATTTAATTTTGACTAACAGTAGTAAGTGTAAACTGACTGGATAAACCAGAGTTTACTTTTTGAACGTAGAAGCGCGAATTCCATATATACCTTGTTACTTTTTGTGTCGTAGATATAGATAAATTAATTCATTCACCGCTTAGTTGGGTATGAGCCACACTCTAGGTGTGAAGGTTAATGATACTACTCGGTTGTCCAAATCGAAGTAGGTGGAGCTGGGTTGGAACCTGAGATTTAGCTGTCAGAAGTCAAACTCTTTAACGGTTAAACCACAGCCTTAAATATTACTTACCTACGCCTGTTACTCCTCGTGGAGTAGCATAGGCTACCCACCATGATTCTTCAACCCACTCTGTTTTGGGGAATCTTCCCCAGATGTTAACATCTGCTAACGCTAACCAACTGTAGATATATCGTGGAGAAATTAAACGTTGACAAGATGTATTTTAATAAAAATGTTATTTTTACAATAAGAAGCTATTTGTAAAAAGAATTATTTTATAGGTTTGTGAATGTAGAGCTTTAGAAACTGGACACTGACTCTCATAATTGTGACGTCACGCAATTGTTCCTAAAAAATTTCCGTCTTATCCTATTGAAAACGTACTTTGAAATGTTTGCTTTTATTTTAATTTTAATTTCTTTATTACCTTTCATTTGCCCACTTTTTTTTCTTGTTAGTCACATTAATGACAGATAGTGGACCACCAACAGATCCTCGTCTGACACGGGGTCACGCTGCTATTCTCGCTGGGGCTGTTCCCCCAAATTTAAATTCTACATTAACTGAAAATCTTCCTAAACCTATTTTAACAACATCCGAAATAATTCCAAGTCTTCAGCCAGGCATACCAAATACTTTACAGCAAAATCCATCACCATTTACTATTTCACAGGATGACTCAAAAACTTCAATTATCCCTGCACGTAATACGTTACCTTCACTACCATCTCTACCACGTAGTTCTCAGCAATTAACAGAAGTTCAAATAACCGATGACTTGGATATAATGGAGATTAATATTTTGGAAAATAAACCAACACTCACAAGAACTGCCACCTGGAGCCCACCACCAATAGAAAGTCGACGTGTAATCAAGAAATCAGTTGACCATGAACCAGATACTCCAGATTCACTGGAGTTCAAAATTGGTTAGTGTTGTTCGGTTTAACTGTTTTTCGTTACTTTAATAACACTAGTAGCCGATGGTCTTGAGATTACTGGTGTTTGAACTTAATATCATTTTTAGTGATCATTTTGGAGTCACTTAAAAGGACAGTCAGTTTTATTGTTTCTGTCCTAGCTTGAACAAATCATGTCATCATACGAATTCATACTAATTTTTTGGTACGTAAGTTAACCTTCGTTGCAACGAAAAATTTGATAACATAAAACTCCTACAATCCTAAGTACTATTCTTTTGGGAAGCTGTCATAGTTGATGTCCTTTCATACGTTGATTAGTTTTATAAGATGCATTCCACTTGATGTATGTACTTTAAATTTCTCACTGCTGTATATGTTGAAGAACGGTTTTTAAACTCCTTATTTACATAGATGAGGAGTAGCATTTTTCTTATATATTTTATCATTCCTCGTTATATATATTGATCATAGTTTAAGGTTAGTTAAAAATCATAATTGTCATCATCAATCAACTGTTGTAGGTGTGTGATTTTAAACATTTTATAAAAAGTAATTTCACTTCGTTTCTATTTTATCTCTGTTGGCTAAAAGACTGTCTAATAATTGTTCGTTGCGAATTGTTTGTCATTTTCAGATAGTCTCCGGCGTCGATTTCAAGATTATCAAATTAGATTTCATTACTTTGTCGAATCTGTTGACGTAAATTCCCTGATTAAGCAACTTGATGGACCTATACGAACAGCACTGGAACAGTTTCGTGATGTAGCTAAACAAGTTGGTCTAATACGTAATTCTTCGATTGGTTTATGTGCTTCACAAAATTTGGATGATTTGGATAATGGCTGCTATGATCAGGAACAAAATTCCTCCGGTAATATATATATATATATATATATATATATATATATATATATGTCTATGAAAGCGTTACGACTAAATGTTGTTCCACCTTCACGAATAAAACTCGAAAATTACAACCTTAACTGAATAAGTCAAGTGATTCGAAGGAGATCCGCGTTAATGATTATTTCTTTCCATTCTAGTCTGCAATAGTAGGAGTGCATTTTGCAAACATTCTTCCGAGTATCATCCATTAATTTATGTTTTGGTCATATTAGTGGCAGGTCTACATTAAAAAATTCAACAGTCCCTACTCATGACTTTTGCAATCAGTCAGATTTAGTTTCATAATTTTAAAAATTATATTGGTTGATTCTATTTTCTGGTAGATGCAGTATCAAATTTGCTCTCGTTTGAAAGCGGGACAATTAGAAGTCACTTTTTTTTACAACCTTAACATCAATTTTACTATTGTTACCAAAGTATTATCTGGAAAATAGTTTCTGGTAGTTAGTGGAGGTTTAGTTTTCCTTCACTAACTTGGCTCAACTTGCTCTATCGAAATAAATTTTCCAGAGTTAATCTCATTGTCGAAAATTAATACCGATTTTAAATTAGAAATTAAGAGTTAGTATGGTGAATAAATCATTCTTCAAATCATTTTTCAGACCTGTTTGACTTCTTTATTAGTAAATCAATGAATTGATTCTTTCAATCAACAGTATCACCAGACATTGTTATTTTCTGATCATTGTCCGTGATAAGTTTTAAAGTATGGAGAATTTTACTTCTCAATGATACTAGTTTCTATCTTAGCCGTTAATATCCACCACAGCTCTTCATCATGGTCATTCAATCGCTATCTTTTTATCTATTTCTAATTTTTATTATTCCGGGAATCATCATAAGTGAATCTGTTGTTATCAGCCAACGCATAGTCGTCTTTCTTGATTCGTTTTGGACTGTATGAAAATTGGTAGTGTATCACTTTTTGGATTTATCTCTGTTTTAAAGGAACGTGTACAATGACAGGTTATTTCAACATAATTGTCATTCTCAATAGTAGCTTAGTTTTTTTATGGTGCATTCATCACACGTAGCTGTAGAGTTCAGATGATTACTATTTACAGCATAGCATATTACAAATTTCACTTCCTACTCTGCTAGCATTAGACGCTACCAAACTGGGTGGTTGTTATAAGCTCCTTAAATGAAATAAATCCTTACTGTGCAGAATCTATTCCTGATAAATTATCATCTAAATGAGTTTCTATCTTATTTTTCGTGATGGATTCCATTATTTTCGAAGTTTCTCTGATGTATACATACAGTGGATAACCATTTCTAATCACAAGTATATTTTTGTTCGACCAAAACTAATTAGAACATTTAAGTTTCAAATTAAAGCAGATATTTTGTTAGTTCATACACTTATGTAAAAAATTGGTTTGTTCGTTTTCGACATCCTTTTGTAAAAAAATGAAGTGGGATCATTCAATTTGTAAACTACTATATTTTAACCTGTTTCAATAAGAGCTTATCAAGAGTTCAGTGCTTAACTTTATACAAAACATGATCTCTTTTAGGTCGGTATTATGTTCATTAAGTTTTTCACTAATACGTAGATTCAAACATGTGATTACTTTGTAAACATCTGGTTTGTACTCTTTTTCATCCCTGATTACTTTTCACGTTATTGTTTGATATTATTACTTTGTTGCATTTCGAATTATCCTTTCAATATAGTATATCTTCGCTCTGCGTCTGTTCTTAATGATTTGTGCGAGTCAATGGAGGCTCTCATTCAAGCGGTACTTGTTGAAGACAGCTTCGATGATTTAGAGATCGCTGGTCGGACAGCAGCTGTTGTATGCGAATTACTGTTCTGTTTATTTGCACAACGTTTGATGCCTGTTGGAGTTGAGTGGTCTGAAGAGTAAGTTTCTTTGCACACAAATATAAATTCTCATATATTTCATCATTTTGTAATTCAATGCTCCAACGTTTAGTAAATTAAGGACTGAAAAAACACTGAAAAACATGGAAGAAAGAAATAGATGTTACATTCTGATCCTCAGCAACGTGTTCCCACGATCACAAAGAATTCGATCATCATGAACTGGGATAATCACAATTCCATTCAATCATTGAGTTATACTTTTGAACGTTGCAATTAAGGGCATTTAATGTGATTTGTTTTTCAGTTGTAAATACTTTACGTTATTTTTAGCTTAAATAGTTTAAACGCATATAGTACACTGATTTTCATTCCATTATACTTTCCCCTTCTTTTCCTATACAAGACATTTGGAAGATTGCTTAGAATTCCCGATATTTATTCCTTTCCGTCATCTTTTACAAATGAATCCGGGTGATCCCAAACGTGAATTGCTCTTATTATTGTTAACAGAAATGCAAACTCGACAACCTCGTCTCGGTTATCATTTATTATTTTTCCTTAAAATTAGGTAAGTTATTTTCTTAACGTTAAAAGTGTCATTTAGACTAGGCTACATATTTAATGATAGTATTAAACTTTTTGTTATCGATCATCTTTACGATTAGATCAACTACCTAGTTTTAATGTGTGCTTAATGAGGTGTGTGATAATTCTTTGAATGTAGTTTGGTAATAAAGTGACCTGTGAAATTTATGTCATGTGGGTTAGAGATTACTGAGATTTACTAGTGTTATTGTGCCATTCATTCGAATGCTCTGCAATATATCTAGAAACTTCTTTTTCAAGATTAATTTTCAGCTGTTCATTTCACCTTGTTTTTTGTGAAACAATGTACTTATAGAAGTACTATGTTAAAAATGGATCTACTCTTGATTCCTTTATATTATTTTTTACAGAGATTCTTTTTTTTATTTGTTACAGCAAAGTAAATGATGAAAAAATGTCGATTTATCGTAATTTTTGTGCTAGTCAAGAAAATCCTAACTTACGAGATTCTTTATTCAAGGATATGCAAGTAAGTAAAAAAGAAGTGATTTGTGAATTCTACTTAGTAAACTATTCGTAGTCAAGCGATGAATTATTGGCTAAAACGTTCAACTTACCACCACTAAATCTTAGGTTCTGTTCCCATCCTCACACTTAGAATGTGGTTCATACTTGGTAAATGAGTTACTTTATATTTATTTAAATCCTAAAAGTGTCTGGTAGAAGAATACTACTGACCTTACGAATATACTTCGGAATTCAATTTATAAATTTCAGTAATTGAGTAGTTAGTAATTCTAACCATACAACTTTATACAAAGAAGCTATCGTTTTTTTTTGAAAGGAATAAATCACCTTTCGTTCTATTATCTGGAATCTTAATGACTTGTTAAACATCTTTAATATTTATATAATGTTTCGTTTAGTTTTAACATTTGCGCAATATCTATGCACAATGGATTACTAATTTATGTTAATTCAGTAATATAGTCGGATAAGATAAAATAAATATACCTACAATTATATGTGATATTATAGGGGTCTCATTTTCGTGTTGCAAATAACACTGATTCACTAAATGATATTTAAAATATCTCTCATTTTTTTGTTTGTTGGTCTATTTTAAGTGAATTTCATAGCTTATACACTTAACATTTACTCAGCTGCTAAATATTATATTTAATGACTTTTTTCTGTGCGTCCGTGCTATATGCTTCTCGATGAAGTACCATAACTACTACCTATTGAGACGTTTATTGATTAGATACTCTTCAGAAAACTGAATTCACAATTTCGCACACTCCACTACTTTAAAGTATGCAGCTGAATGTCTTTTTTCTCTATCAATTATCCAGTATTTACCTAGAATGTAGCACTTCTGTGATAACACCTGTTAATTTTCAGTTGATTTTCTTCCTTCAATTCTTTCTGAATTATGTTGTGTGACTATTATTTTTAGTTCTTATCCTTCACTGGTTTACTCGTATTTTAATGTTTTGTTTAATTAATTATCTATGTATTTTTCAAATGTATTCAGTCATAAAATTTGTATTTTTATCCCATTGCTATGAGATTTTTAAACCTCTCAGTTCAATGAACCATTTTCTGTTTCACAGATTAACTGAGACTGGATTATTTTGAAGGGAAAATTCTATGCCCCTTATTTTTAATACTGACCATAATTCATTGATTAGTAATCGAGTTATACCACTATCTATTTCACTGAGATAATTACGTGCTAATAATCCTTATATTATCTGTGATATTTCATTTGCATTTTTAATGATATTTTTCTTGTATTCTATCCATATAGGATTTAGCCAAATGGTAACAGTTTGTTTGTGTTATGGTGGAGGTTTCCCATAGTGAAATGCTATAAACAATTGGGGGAAATTAGCTTTTAGGTCATTCATTCTCCAATACATCATAACCTGACTGTTCGGCCTAATCTTTGGGCATCGTATTAATTAATTTGTTTATATGACGTAAACTTACCCGCCGAGGTTACAGAGTGGTTTTACAACTGTAGTTGAATTTTAAAGTATTATAATAAGCTTTTACCAACCTTCAACGTGACTAATATCAATGTCTAGTTTGAGAACCAGTGTAGAAAATGATGGCTAGAATGGACAATTTGTTTCATTATATTACTGTGGTTTTTGATTCATTCAAAACTTCTCTTCTAATTTTTTATGAATTTTTACGATACATCATATAAATGTTTATTATTTTCCTATGAGATAAGTTAATTTACAAAAATTTTAATTTTAGTTACTGTCCGATGATAATCGTCGCCTGTTCGCATATTTACTTCCAGACGTATTCACTGTGGTAAGTTTGTGATGTTTACACTACTTATTCGATAAGATCAATTAAGACTTTTGGGACAACTTTCAGCTGTGATCTCCTTTTTACACCCAACTAATGTTGCTATTTTCCGTGTTCAGCATAGGATATTAAGGTTTTATGTGATATATTATTTCTATGCACACTTACACATGCGTTATATATAAAAGTATTGCCCGAGTTTTTTTCGAAGAGCAATAATATGGCACTAGTTTAGAAAAAGTCAAACATCAGCGTATTTAATTTTCGTTCTGTTATCTTACTGATCGTTTTTCTGCATGTAACGTTTATTTTGCAGAATCTGACAAATTTTAGTGCCATCCCGAATCTGTGTAGGGATTCTTACTATATATTCTATTGTATCGTATATCCGTGTGGCGCATATAAATTTGGTGCCCATTTGTACCAATATTTATGTGTTCAAATAAATAAATGATCGTATATCCGTGTACTTAGAAATCAAGTGGTTGGTGATCTTTATTCATAGAAAAACGGTATAATTTAAAACTTTCAAACTAAATATCTTATGTTTTGAACCAAGTCAACTTCGAGGCAAAATCAATTAAGAATCTTTCAAGACAAATGGTTGATAGTGCTCATGCATATATACACATTTATTCTGTGTGTTAATTTTTTATGATTGTATATCTACTGTAAGTATAGCGTTTATATTTGTGGGAAAAGTATTGCAAACAAATAATTAAGGCCACTAGTAAGCTATTTCAGAAAAAGGATCTATTTATCTTTACGTCATAATTCATATTCGTCATCGTATAAACTCCATGATGTCTATCTCTTAATAATACGATTACAAAAACCATGTAAAATGTTCGTGTATTTAATTTCCATGAAAAGTGAAGTTCATTGGATTTTGATTGCTACTAGTCTCGCTCTGATCATGACTAAAACAAAATACCAAGTCTCACTTATAATAAAATCTAAGTGACAGTTAAGCATTTAAATTTAATCGTCATATATAAATTCGTTTATAACTAGCTACTAAAAATATAATCTATACAATACAAGTCATCAGTTTTAATATTACCTGTTTATAATGTAATGAGTAGTCAACTTTAATTTATATTTTTGTTCTTTTTGTAAACATTGTGTGTAACTAGGAAAAAGTAAGCGCTTATTAGTAACCTTTCACAACATGATCTGTCAACTGGAACATATTCACCTTTGTGGTGTGAATAATTACTTTCAGATCAAACCAAATTATTAGTCTACCATAAGTAATTGCTAACTTTTGACATAGTGGAAATTTGTAGTTCAGGTGAATGATTTTGATGGAGTTTTGAATTCCCCTACTTCTATCTGAAGTTTTGTGCTGGTGACATTGCTTAGAAAAACTATAAAAGCTTCGCAATCAAACTACTCAGCTCAGAAAATTAAACTTCATCAAAAGTGACTAAATTGTTAAGGAAAAATTTGGGCTATTAGTCGATTAGGTAGATTATTTTTGTTATGATTTGATGTCCGGCTTACGATCACGTGACTTATACACCAATCAGAATACGGCTTATACGAATATTCGCACTATGACAAGACCAATGACGTTCAACCGGTCTGAGCAGTCTAGCGTCCTATTGGGTCCTACGTCCTTCTAACCCGTCCTCTTGAGTCCAGAACACAATACCAGCTTCTGAATCAACCAAATCGAACCAAATCATTTATTTCAGACATACTCGGTTTATATATCAATCAGGCAGACCACAACGTACCATAAAATAGAAAATAACATATGTACACAAATAGGTCAAAAAGTGGCTGTGAATGTGGGAGACAGTAATTAATAAACTGAGCATAATTTAGGGACAGTAAATCGTACAATGATAAATTATAGGTCAAAGTGAAGCTTATGATAAGGGGAATATAAATATACATAATCTAACTATTAAATAATTACACCGTAAGAATATATAGATAATATTAGTCAATTAATGTCTCAGAAGTTACTCGTGATTTAATCTTCGCTCGGATATAACAATTTTCATCTCCAAATTTTGTTCATTTTACACCTTAATCTAAATTATCTTATTAGGTAATCAATGAAACCATTGTTGATCTGAGTCACGTTGGAAAGTTCTGATTTATTGCTGTACGTTTGTAAGCTGATCGTAATATATGGTTGGAGATCTTAGACAGAATGCCTCAAAGTAGAAATGGTTATAAAAATTTTTTTTTCAGTGTGTATTTTATAAATTTTCCGTTAGATCAACGATAATTAAATGTTTTTACAGTTAGTTATTGTTCTTGAATATTTTTAAGTTTCTATATTTTATTTAATGTTTTATAGTTTTCATCTGAACTATCTAATGACACGGAATTTCTTCGATTAATTGTTGCCACCATTGATCCTGGAATGTGTAATTCTCTTATAAGTGAAATAGTTCGTGGACATTTGAATCTCTTTCCGAATAACGATTTGACCAATATCTTAAGTATGTATTATGATTTTTTAAAAATTTATTGTTCACAAACTATTACTGTAAACATAAATCTTCTGTTCACTGCTGAATTCAAATCGTAGAAAATTTATGTGTTTTTTATCATTAAATTAATTTGATGTAAGTATATTGTATGCCTAAAAGACGTGCTAATATATCTATCTTTATACGTTTACATAGTCAACAGGATTGAATTGAACATTTTAGCGTTTTTATTGTTGCCTTTATCAGGAAGTTGGTAGAGATACTGTAAAGTTATTTTACCCGTTTATCTCGATGAAACATCTGTTACAAAATACTACATTAAACAAATATCGGCAACAATTATCATCGTTAGTCCATTTTTCAAAACTGGAAGCTATTTTGGGTGTGTATGTTTAATTTATTACTGATATCAACAGAAGACCCATTGGAAAATAGTCAACATTTATCTTATATGGCTTTTTCGTTCTATTTTAGCGTTGTGGGGGTGGGGGACTGAAAATTATTCATAAGTGTGTATTCACCATTCCACACAAGATCAAACCAAAGACGTTCATATTTCTTGCATTTAATAGCATTGTATTCTATCTTAGCCAAATGAATTATATTTTCCAAATTAGCATTAGTTAGTCTATGTTAATGATTTTTCCATGTATATGAATTCATCATCAATTTGTAATTTGCATAGCTCGGATTAATAGTTTTCACAGTTGAATGGTTTATTTATCAATTATAGGTTCTATTTGATCACGAAGTAATGCTTATTTGTAAAATCACCTTTTCAGTAAATAATTGTTGCAAAAAAATATAATTTCAAAGATTCCTGTGATGAGTTATTCTATACATTGAAACACAAGAATCTACTCGCTTGAATTCCTATCATATTTACTTAACCATCTAAATATTATTGAATACTCGTAAATTTTGACTGTATCATATACATTAGATACAACAAAGTTTTAAGTGTTTTTCGTTTAGTTGTGGATACAATTACAATAGTAGGTTAACGTTTTCGGTGTTTATTCGCTACGAATTTTGATTTTGAATATATACTAGCTAGTTCACATGGAATTAATATTTCCATACTCTTTTTTAAATCTTATTCGTTTTTCAATAACGCTACTCCATTCATCAATAAATCCTCAGATGCCAGTCTTGAATGGAATTCCATCGAACAGTTATTCTTTTGGCAGTTGATCAATGCTCATGAAATTCCAACTAATCGATTTCTACCATTGATTCATTCTGTCGATTCATTTAGTAAGTGTATTGTTAAATTGATAAGGTTATGTGTATCTGATATTTTCATTAATTTCATTCTAGCACATGTAAAGTGTATCAAATAGAACTCATTGAAAAAAATTTACAAATCCTTTTATCATAAAGTGGGTGTTAGTTAAGAGAATTATTTAGTCAATTAGCATATTCATTTCAGAATGTCATATTATTAGTTGTGTAAAATTAATGTAAAATTGGTTTTTAGGTGACTTTTAATAATATTATGGGGACTGTTTATTTAGTTAGCATGTGATCCGTTCAATACATAAACAAACTTAGTAGTTACTCAGGAAATTCGTAAAAATAACGCACTACAGGAAATGACTCTGTTCGAACACATCAAGGATATTCCATCAAAGGCTTTAACGGCTATACGGACGATTTAAGTTATATAATATAACCTTGTGGGCCAGGTTAATTTTACGTCGATTTTCAGGAGAACCAGACACCGTCCAGACTTTCACGTGACAACCCAAACAGTACAGCCCAAGCCCGTTTAACTGGAGAGCCAGACACTGTATAGTCTTTAACGCTACAATCTGAATAGTACAGCTCAATCCTGTGGCGCAACCACACAGGTACCAAGCGCCCTGGTGGACCATTCGCACCATTCATATACACATTCACATCACATGTGTAGTTACTTCGACCAATGATCGCGCGAATCAATTATGCACGGCACGAACAGGCCAAAGTTGACCTATTCCGCTTACACGACAGTCAAACTCATTAATGTTAGCAATAGCGACATGCCTTACAATAACCCAATGACAATGGCCCTTGAGAACACTGAAAAGCAGCCACTAGTATGAATGAAATCAGTTAACCAGCAAACCAATTTTGTGCATGAACAGTCAGAAAAACTTGCCAAAGCATTGCTGAACCATCCACAATACCAATGGCGTACCTCCAGCCTCATATGAGATCTTTAGCTCTACATAGCCATACAGCTTATACTGCATACAACACCTCTGTAGGGTAGTAAGCGAAATAGCCCAGCCTGAAGCGTTAGGACTTAGATAACGCCTAAAATCTATTGTCTGGTGTCGCATTTGCGAAATTTTCATTTTTTCGACTTTTCAGACCCTAAGTTAGGGGTAATATCCCTACGGACGATTTAAGGTCAGTACAGTTGTTAAGCTCCTGTTTTGGTGGATACATTAAACTTGTACCGGTCTCTCGTGCGTACCCTTTATCGATTCACTGGGTTTGGAAAGCCTCATCTTCATATACGATTCTAACAAAATATAAACTGACGAGCCACTTGGAAAGCGTGAATTCTGTGGGCTTTCATGGATGTTTTGAACAATAAAAACAGGGTTTAGATAAATATATTGCCACAAATGGTAAGCTTTCGGGAGAGGTCAGTCAGTCAAAAACAACGTAGAACTTCGTACGCACGTACATCAGTTCGAGTTGCCACACCACATTAGCACAGAGATTTAGTTATCGATTGAAATCCCGTAGTGGTAGAGGTAGTGAAAGTATAAGTAGTGATAGGGAATATTAGGGGTTGATGATGTTATTTAAGGAGTATAATCCAGTGGAATAGATTTGAAAAGAAAATAAAGGACATGAAGAATTCAGAAGATTAGAGTTTGAGAGAACACAAAGAGTGGATGCACCTGCGCCATTGAAAACGATTCTGAGCCATGTCATTCAAGATCTCTAGCCATCGGTTGCTATCGTCTTGCTGACCCCAACTAGGTAGCTTATGCCTATCAACATGGCTCAGTCCACTTGTCAATGACTTCATGGATTTGTGCCAAGTTTTGGTCTGGCCGCCCCTAGCTTTCTTCCAACCTACTCCTACACCATAAAACACCTCACGTCGGGGCAGTCGGTGGTCGGGCATACGTAACACATGTCCTAGCCATCTCAACTGATGAAGTTTCACTACTTCATCAATTGATTTGTCATCCTTACCAAGTACCCGTTTCCTAACAGCTGAGTTAATTACTCTGTGGTCCCAGGATATACGAGCAATGTTTCGAAGACACCTATGATCAAATACTAGTAACCTACGAATATCCTCTACTCTTACCGGCCATGTTTCACTGCCATAAAGTAGGATGGAACGAACTGCTGCTCAGTAAACACGTCCTTTGGTAGACGAATATCTCGCCTACGCCACAAATGACGCAAGTTGGCAAAAGCTAGTCGAGCCTTGTGTATCCTTGCTGAGATTTCGGCACACACTAGACCACAAGGGCTGATGATTGTCTTCGAAAGGTTAGCTAGCCTTCTTTCATTTGATTGTATCAAATAAATCTTGTCAATTAATTTTTGAGGACTACATATGACACAAAAATTTTTGCTATGATTATACTCCTAGTAACTTTTTGTGTAGATATACACATTTATTCCACTTAAAATGTGAAAATTTCCAGATATTATTTAATTTCCTTTCATTCCATTAATATATTAATTTATATGTTACATAAGTTCTTGTTTTATTTTTTCTAATTTTCCGTGAACTAATTTAGAGCATCCTGAAGCATGTTCCAATTTGATTCTTCTCCTTAAATTAGAAAAGTACGTATTTTGTTTCGGAGTTAAGTGCGTTGATTTACGAATGTTTTATATCTTACTGCGAAAACAAAGTTTTTACACTTTATTTATTTGAATAATGAAGAATGTAACATTTAAATTTCCCCTTACGAAACTTGAGACTTCTGGTTAACGAAATGTTCTTAAATAATATTCATTAATTTAATCACTTTTGTTCATCTTATAAGTGTCTACATATTTTATATCTTGGGTTTTTGTTCAGTATTTTACTGAAGTAGTATTTTCTCAGGTATTTATAAAAATTGTCTTAATCCTTTCAGTGAATTTAGATTCACAATCTTGTCAACTGTTGAACAATAAATATTGACTACTGAGTATCCATCTGAAGTATTACGTACTCAGTGTTTCTGCCATACGTCTTTGATACCAATAGAACATAGATAATCAAATGTCTATCATCGTTAAACATTTTTCTGTCAGATGCTGTTTTGAAATGGTATTTTTGTGTAATGCAATAAGCCACGTTGTTATTGTCTTTATTTCACCGACTACAATCCCTCTAGCGTTGGTACCGCTAAATAAGATAATTGATTAACATGCTCAACACCTTCCTATTTTTCTAGTTTATCATGGAAATGAGTGGTAGTAGTAGTGTGTGGTGCCTACTTCCTATATTTGTGTAGATGGACTTGCTTATCAGTCCCTTCTCAAGTTTCCTCTCAGCACATAAGAGGATCAATGGTGATACACTCTAAGCTATATATATTTGCATAGTACGTAGTATGTATAGTCACTTATAAAAACGTCAGTGATCAGGTAGTTAGTTGTATTTCAATTCTAAGTGACTTTGTTGCTTCCTTTCTTTTTGTATAGCAAAATCGTTCCCAGTAATCTACGGAATAATTATTTTTGTAATTGACCTTTCAGACCTAGCTTTGAATTAGTTCGTGCTTTACTATCTCGTCGTAATTCAAATGATTTACTGTCAATGACTGCACTGCACTTTTGGAGCTGTCCGGATAATCAACATGCTGGACGTTTCTCAAACATTTTATGTTCGTTTATCAATGCACCTTTATCTTCAACAAATGCAGTTGGTGTATCTTCAGCTACTAATAATCAAAATATGAAAGACGTCAAAGATAAACGCCGCAGTTCTTCAAAGTAAGTGATAGTATACTGAAATTAGAAGTTAGAAGAAGTATTACAGCTGCATCTACAAACTTGATAACTAGTTTTTCAAAATTTACCAAACATATTCGGAACAAAATCAAACACACATTCGAAAATGGCAATATAATAGAAGGCAGTTGATGTGTATTTATTCTCTTGTGGAGCTTCTCAAGAGTGCGCACATATTTCTTTACATGGGTTCCAAACGAGAACCTTCGAGTCTCCTGGATACATGATACCTTTTCGAACACTAAGTTTAATTTCGATAAAATTAATGTAACGTTCGAAGATGCCTCACAATTTCCAAATTAAATAATAGTTTCATCTTCACTATATATATATATATATATATATATATATATATATATATATATATATATATATATATATATATATATATATATATATATATATATATATATATATATATATCACATTTTAGTTTTTGTTCAACCATATTTCTTAAACTTTTTGTTTTGTAGACATCAGTTGTCACCTGAGGATTGTGTGGACCTATCACTCATCCTTACCCACTTGGATTCTCTTCGAAGAAATTGCAAAAATATATCACGTAATTCACTGCCTTTTAGTCTTTTCATTATTTTAAAAATTGCTTTTATATTCATGTTTCATTAATTATATACTTTGTTTCTTGCATTGAATGTTTTCCTGTTTTAACTTCAGATATTCATCGTTCCACCGTCGAAAACAATGCTACGATATTTCAGTATTTCAGCGAATCTTGTTTTTTTTCTATATAGGCTTATCAATCACAATTGTCGCATGAGAGCTAACTACTTTTGACCACTGATATTTCACAAAGCAATCAAAATATGTGATAGTATCCCTTTGTAACTAAGCGTCAAATTTTAAGTCGATAGAATTTTTATTGAGATCATAAACCGACCTAAGTTAGACAATCGTTGATACACTAAAAGGGTTGTACGTCTATTTCGTCCTGGTATCGGACTCCTCAAAAATGCACATTCACGACCGCACAACCAGGGATCGAATTTGTGGACGTTTGACCACCAGACCACTGGCTGGAGTCCAGTAATGGACAAATTAAATCCCAATCAGTCCGCGATATTGCTTGACTGTCATTGTCTCCAGTGGATTTCAATCATGTCGAGTATAAGGTTCTCAATGGAAGATGGTAGTTCACTATCTCGAATTGATCGGGATTAAATTTGTTCGTCATTGAACTCCTAATTACTGGTCTGGTGGTTAGGCGTCCGGGGGGGAGACCGAAGGTCCTGGGATCGATCTCTGGTTGTGGGGTCGTGGATGTTCACTTCTGCAGAGTCCCATATTGGAACGAAACAACCATCCAGTGCTTCGAGGTTTTCATCGGTTGTCTAACTAAAATCAGTCATTAATGTAAACTATAAAAATGTAACAATCTCCATAGCCCTTATACTGATGTAGAATTTCTTCTGTATCCGTTTTTGGTAATTAATTTGCACTAAGCTATTGTGTTCCATTCTCATCTACATATGTTGGAAGTTTTGCTAGAACTTGAATTTCGAATAAATTCACCAAACATTTTACATGTCCGATAACCAATTTAATTAATCATTCTTAACTTTGAAATGATTTTCTCAGAACTGTTTGAATGTTGCCTTTTATTATTTCATGCTTTTTAATGAATTTTTCTCCTCAAGTATTGCAAGATGATGATATACAATCAGCTCTTCAATCTTTAGTGGTATCACCTAAACTATCTCCAAATCTTAAAGATCGTTTCTCTGACTTATTGGCATTAGTTGAAGATCTTCCAGCAACACCTAGTGATTGTCATTCACAAATACCAGACTCTTTGTCACGTTGCAATTCTTCAGTTCATATTAATGGTGATGTGTATAAAAGTGACGTTAGAAAAAATTCATCTGATCGAATAAAACCTACAAGTCATGGTGGTAGCAAAGGTGGACATAGTCTTCGTAATTTAGATTCACGTCGAGCAGCTGAAGTAAGTCAATAATATAAATAAAATGAATATCATGTTTTTCTCAGATTGTATGTTATACTCGTCGGCTTTTTCTCTCGATTCTTGTAAAATACTATAAATTTAGTAGGATGTGTCAAAATAATGTAATTTAAACCATTTCATTATACTGATACTTAAGTTTGAATCTTAAGTTGTATTATGCTTAATTTCTAGTGACCAAACAAATATTTCGATGCATTGTTATCAAAACTATTCATAGTAGTGATATATCATATTGCAAGACATACAAGTACACAAAACACGCTAGTTTCTAGGCATGATCTCAGGTTCATACAAATTACAAAATAATAATATTAATAAGGTTAAATGTGCACTAGACATGACTTTCAGATAATTTTGTAATAAGCATTTTGAATGAATTTAATATAAAAAATATACAACAATAAGTGTAATGGAGGATATAAAAAGTTTGGGTAAGATATTTTTGTAGTACAGTAATAATGATCGTTTACATTTCATAGAAGATATAGATCCAAAAAACAAATGAATAAATCATTAGATATGTTTTGGTTTAGGAAATTGTCCTAACTTGTCAAGGAAGTTACATAAAACAGTTTGAGCACACTAAATTTCATGTATTTGAAATTTTTATCAAAGCCTTTGTTGCCGTTTGGGACGGAGCTGAATTGAAAGGTAATTAATTAATAAAAACTCCAAAAAGACAAAACATGCAATAACAGTTTATGCTTACAGAGGAGAATATAAGAATGTGGTAATCAGACAATCTTTACAATCCCATGCTGATGATATACAATAATTCTTCTCAAGGTAGTTTCAACTTACGCAATATTTGGCTCGCTTCAACAGAATTATATTCTATATGCTCTGGTAATTCAGTATAGTTTTTTAAGCAATTATTTCTGAACATTCTATTCAACCTCATGAACAGTTAGTTTGTTGTTTCTGCTTTGTATATCTAGTTTCAATTGGTAGACATGCAGTCATTAACGTTATTTACATACATTCAGAATTGTTCACCCTTCTACATTTAATTCACCTGTCTCATGTAAGACTGGAAATACATTTATTCAGACTAAAGTTTTCTCTAAAACTCAGTTGTTTTATATAAATTTTTGTTTTTTACTGTTTTAGGCAGAAAGGCGGCAAGTAGTTTCAACTTACAGTAGTAATTCAACTTCTTCAAAACGACATAATCAAAGTGATAGTCAGTTGAATAATTTCGATGGTGATTCTGATGGAAATGAAGTTGGTTCTGTGACTAGTGATTCGTCATCTTGTTCGTCCGAAGAAGAAGAAGAGTCAGCAATCAGCAGAAAAACTAGAAGTGGAGCAATGCGTTCTGTAGACAAATCTACGAATAAATTAAAAACAAGTGGAGGCAAACGTGTAAACAGTGAGGTAGCAGTGTCAAAGGATCGTAAGTCAACAAATAAACGTTCATCTAGTCGTCAAGAAGTAGATGATGAATCTGTTAAAAGCGAAGATGATGAGGATGATGAATATGAAGACCGTGTATTGGAAGTTGTTGTGATTGATGATGAAAGTGGCGATGATTCCAATAGTTCCAAAGCCACTACGTCGCGAGGTAATAACAATAGTAATAATAATGATAATGATGAAGTCGATGACGATTGCAGGATACGTCCATCAAAACGTCGTAAAACAACAATAAAGCGTTTTATGTTAGATGACTAGTTATAACGTTAGAAAATTTCTATTTTGTATATATTTAGACTTATATTTTTCAACGTTATCTTTTAATTGCTAATTCGGAATTGAATGTCCTGCCAAAATAACCTTGTACATAGAATCTATTGTTTAACAAATTGTACAGTATTTCAGTACTTTTTTTACTTATGTTTGTGACTTCAAAATTCTTATATTCTTTGATTCAATCTTGACTCTTAATTGTATTAAATGAAGATCCTTGCTTCTAACAAGCTAACTTTTGACTAAATACAGATGTTTTTATGGAGAATATTCCGATTTACTTCTTTTAAAAAAATTCTATTGATGTCTACCAGAGGTTGTATCTATATAAAAGTGACTGGGAACACTTATCTTCGAAGTATAATCATCAGTTTTCTTTCCACTAGTTTAATCCTTGAATATTTATCATGTTCTATACAAAGATGGTAAGTTAGTCAACAAGAATATGAAGGGTATTTTGGATTAACGATCATGAATACGTTTTTGGCCACTTTTTAGAGATTTTAACAATTACCTTCACAGTCATGACTGTCCGAACTCGATCGATAACGCTGTAGCGATTGAATTGAAAGGTATTAAATTCGAGTCCCAGTTTGGATCATCAGTACAGGAATGTAGGTACATTTAGGTAACGAGGAGGATCCCATTTCTAGCAAAAATTCAACCTTACTAATATTGTGGACCGCGGGGTGGCTACTCTAAATTCTACCGAGTGACCAACTGCAGATATCCCAGTACGACCCCAATACTGTTCCCCAATCTCCAATATATCAGAACACGAACCGTTAGATGAAAATTGTTTATGGGGTCAGGAGAAGAATAATAATTTGCAGACAAATGCATATTTATACAGTTAGGACTACCGTGAATATTGACCAACAAGAAAATGACACGTGAAATAAATATTGACCAATAAGAAAATGACACGTGGAATAAATATTGACCAGTAGGGAAACTACGCGTGAAATAAATATTGACCAATAGGAAAATGGCACCATTTCACGTTCAAGAATAACATAAAAATTAACAGGATAATTTTTTGGGATATTTTTCTGAATATCCCAACAACTAAAATAAACGATGTAATTTATTTCGAAAGATCGTTGTTGTGTACGCAAAAGAAGATAACAATCCTTTTTTCGGATGTAGCGGTCAAGAGCTTTTCCCATGTCTTTGAAATCTATGATGCCAACAACTCACATCTGTGAACATTAAAAATAGTGGGTTTGAGAGTTGCTACTGACTCGAGCTAAACTTGGAACATTACCCTTATATGTTAACATTAATCGTATTACAACTTCTACTACCGTGGGATTTGCCTTGACAATTTCATCTCCTGAGCATCTTAGATCATTACCTACATGTGGATTGATGAATTCTATCCACCTGTCTAATTAACTGAATACCTCAAACAAATCCTTAGTACACTTCCGTATTTTTTTACTAATAGAATTAATAAAACCATTTATTAATTTATGGATGACATTTCTAACCTAAGCTATCAGTTAGATGGATGTTGACAGATCTGTTAAACCTGATATGGCCTTCATTTCGCGAATGATGCACAAGTTCAATAACTAAGTGTTTAAGTCAGATATAAATAACTTTTATTGCTCAAAGGATTTTGTGTCGAATTTCGTTACGCAAAACAACTCATGTTTGATTGGCGTTATCCTGTCTTCTGAGATTCGTGCACATAGAACTTTCTGCATTAATTATTCTGCCAAATTAATCATATCCATACAGACGGTATATTACAATTTACATGAATTTCACCTCGTTATAACAGCTTGAAGAAGTCGAATACACTGAAAAATGAGTGATTTTTACGATAAGTAAAGCGTAGGTGAATAGTCCTGGGATAATGTACATCACGGCAACTAAATATATAGAATGCCTCAGATTATATAGCTTCCTGATGTTCTTTGATATATGGAAGCTCTGACGAACAAGGAATCATCGGTAATTTGACAATTCACATTGTTCCACTGACTTTTACTATCGTCCGAATAGCTACTTTGGATTGCTCTTTATGTTATGTATCAATGCTATAGTCTTCGCTATATAAGCAGTTGTATCACAGTTTTAATTTATTGAACATTCTTGAATCCCTGTCTTTTCTGTCGAGTACAGGATAACTGTTATTGAGGTGTTGCGGGAATCTTTAAACTCTCTGAAACGTATAAACCGTGCAATTTTAAGGACATTTCGCAATTGTTTACAATTCGGAATAATCGTAATCCATCTCAAAATAACGCTGAGTCTGCGCTTTAAGAAAAGAAAATTACTCGTACAATAAGTATTTATTATCGGGATAGGCAGGTAAATGTTACCGGGACATAAATTGGATTAAAGCATGCTCAATGCACCATTGCCTTGGCGCACGCAGATTAGCTAAATGTTATCCAACTAGCGCTAGTTGATACTTGGAGAACACTCTAGGATCTCATGTAAAAACTATAAACATACTAACGTCTTTCCTATTGTGCTTCTTACTTCTATCTAACCTTGTTATTTGGGATATAATCTCTTTCCTGTTCAACCTTGTTCTGATTTGGGGACTTGTCGAGTGAACTGGTGTCCGAGAATACTAAGCGATAGGAATAGCTGGGTTGTAATAAGAGAGAATTATAACAGTAACTAAGCTCGAACCATTTTTCGTAGACTACAAGTACGGTATAATACCATTTGACAAACTACGTTTTGAAAATCTATTTTTTGTTTACTCATTAATGAGTCTCAATATTCCACATTTAATACTCATTATTTATTCTATTAAATGCTAACCAGTTATTAAGAAACCCAACTACTTGTCAAATATATCAGTAAAGTCAAGATCTCATTTAATATTATTTCTCTCACCCTATCTGACCCATATTTATTATGACCATGAATCTTAAATTTCACTTAACATATACAATTTTAAGTTAACATTCTATATGAGTCATATCAGTATTAACGATTTGGTTGTATTTTGTTTAACAATCCTAAATTCGCATGGTTGGACGATGTACTTTATCCTTAATCTGGCTATTTTTCGGATTATTAATTTGGATATATGAATTGCGGAACCTGAAGAGAATATATCGAAAAGAATATTCTTCGTTCAAATATTAGTCTTTTAAGTAAATATGCCTTGAATTCCCCGTCCGTATTGCGAAAAATATCTTCCGCGTGTGTTAAATACTCGTCTATTGTTAGAACTATTACTCATATTGAACGGATAAATTTTATGGTCGAAGAAATATATATAATATATATATATATATATATATATATATATATATATATATATATATATATATATATATATATATATATATATATATATATATATATATATATATATATATATAGGCAATTCATTGAAACTAACGTATTCTGTTTAAAAACCAGAAGATAATCCAGGAAGTGAAAGCTTTTTTAATGCACATTATATTTGGTAATTACCATTGATATAATAACAAATGGACAGAAAGGTAGACTATTCCTTGTTAAGATAGAAGACAAAATTATTATTGAAAGATTAATCAATAATGTTTCAGAAAGTAGGTAGAAATTCATAACTATAAAAATAAGTTCCACAGAATGATTAAATAAGTTGGAAAAGATAATAATAGCGAAAATAATGAAAACAAAAATAACTCATTTTGGAGATGACGGAAAGTTAAGGTGATCATTAAAATAGTGAACGATTACCGCAGTAAATAAACGTTTCTACTCTGTAGTTTGGGATTCTCTGTGTGTAGCAATAATTTCTTCGATTCAGAGGAAGGAAATATATACGTTGCATTTGATAGGTTTCTTCTTTATATATTATGCAGTCCTTATGTGACATGAATGATACATGTGGGTTAAAGAGAAAAGTGATTTCTTGTGCTAAGATTATCAGTAGCAATTAGGGAGAAAAGCAACGTTCTTGATTACTCATACATAGATGTCACTTTGAACAACTGGTAGCGCACAAACATGGGGACAGACGCAAAACTTGAAGTCACAACATTGTGTTGCTAGCAACTCTGCTTTAAGTTTCTTAATAAGAATATTACAATATAGTGAACGTTTTTCCTATATTGTGGCAATATATTTGTTCATCCGTATAACTACCAACAAACTGTGGATATTAAATCTACAAATACAGATTTTTAAGAAAAAACCTGGGTTGTGTATAACCTTAGTGTGACTTTTAATGCGGATAATTCAGGATGATTTTCGATTATTTAACTGTCAAATTAATCCAGTGTAATTTTTGTTTGGTATAATATTCATTTGTTCTATTTTAATGTGAAGTTTGTTCAATGTGATGAATTTTTTAAACTAATAATCACTGCAATTAATCTGTATATAAATAAATGTATTCGAAGGATTAGTAATCTTCTTATGTCTCTCACAATAAAGCTTCTAGACAAGCTTGAACTTCTATCTCTGGTCAGTGGGGGAAACGAAGTAGGATTTGAGAATTAATGCCTTCGTGTGGGGGTATGCTAAAAACATTATCTGTAATATTAAGACTTAAGTGGAATATTCAATTCCGAATATCATCCTCTTTCATTTGTGAAAATTTATAACAGTATAGTTCATTGTAGCTTACAAACTGAGCAAACGAATATAACCCATCGCTATTTTTCCATATGTCAATTGTTTGTAAGTACACAACTGCATAATTTCAATAGTTCGTCTTTTGTATTATTAGTGATCATTACGTGGACATTTTTAGATCACAAGTATGACACATTAGCCAGGACGATAACAAAATTAAAACTAAACAACCGACCAATATTTTGTCAAGAGGCGATATATCTAGTTGACCCTATATAGCACAGAAACGACTAATATGACCAGTTATGAGTGAACATAGAGCGGTTAAATTGAAAGAAAGATGAAAATAATAAAGGACCAGGATAGAAATTATGATGACTTAAGTCTTTAATGTATCTAACGCTTGTTGAGAAAATACCAATTTTGAAGCACCTCCTGTGTTGCGATTCGATCCGTTTTGAAGAAGACACACATGTCATAACTGTTTATAAGATATCAGACAAGGTATAATGATAATATTCATTAGAAAGATGAAAACTGAAAAGCTTAAGATAACAAAATGACCCTTATTCACAGTCAGATAAATTTATAACTGTTACGTTGTACACGATTTTATAATCAATCGGAAGCTTATTCCATCATCACTTATTTCACAATTTACAACACACATCAACTAAGGCAACTGTTTCTTTCATGCAACACGTATTCGGATTAAATTTATACATAATAAATAGAATAAGTTATCAAAGAGGTTTCATAAGTTAAAAATTTCCGAAATTTTCATGTAGTCTTTGTCACGCACAACGGTAAATTAAGTGTTGCTTTATGTATTTCACAAATATTCTGATAATTCTGTTAATCATCAGTTTGTTTA